ACACAGAAAACAGCAGAGACTGTTCCTTTCGAGGGATACTGGAGGCAATCTCCGCTATGAACTTACAGAAACAGAGAAATTGTTCTGAAGAGAAAGGTTCACACTGAAAAATACTTGTGGACACGGAAATATCACCGGTTTAGCCCCACTTGGCAGCTGAAATTGTAAGGAAAGATCATGCCCAAGTCAGATTTGGGCATGACTGGAAGTATGGAGAGAAACGTCACAAACATCGTCAGAAAATCAAGTTTTGTCCACTACTGAGGAAAACGAGGCAGAATTTATAGTTTACAGGAAATATACAGGGAGATTAAAAAAAAGGGAAAGAACGAACTGCAGAGAAAGACACTTCTCCAGGATCCTTCCTCCCCTTCCTCCTCTTGCTGTGTCTCTGCAAAAAGTCTTTGGGCCAGGTTCTCACAGAGATTTCCTTGGCCTCCATCTTCCTTGCCCATCCTCTGCTTATGTTCAGCACCTCCAAGTACCACAAGCCATAAACACAAACTCAGCTACTGCCTCCTCTTGGATGATGTGCTTCAAAATCTTCCCTTTCAAGATGACAAAAAAGCAGCCCAAAAGCTTTCAATACAACCATCTTTCCTCACTCATAATATCCCATTGGATCTGTTCTCCATCGGGAAAGGGACAGGCAGACTGTGGATGTGGGATACTTAAGCAGCTGTGATATAGCTGCTCTCTGCCATGGCAGATGTAGAGAAGTTCCCTTTCCTCAGAAAACGCAGTTTATAGGTAGGGTGTTTGCTTTAAACACCAAAGAAGGTGGATTTGTGCTAACAGGGCAGACTATGAACTACGGAGCCTGAGATACATGCGCTCTCTGCTTCCTGCCACTGGCAAAAACTGTATTTTAAACCACTCTCTACTGCATTATACTTCAAACAGCCCAGGGAACCCAGTGTCTAGGATCCATATTTGCTCTTCCACAAGCTTTAGGCACCTTTTTTTTTGTATGTAGAATAATGCAAATTAATACCTAGAGTGAATTAACAAACAGATTGAAGACTAGACTCTCTTCTAGTTTCTGTACTCATAGTCACCTTCTGTTCCATCACAACAGCTTAATTCTGCTTTCTGGATGTAAATTTGTGAGACTTAAGGTTTGTTAAATGGTTACTATTTTAGATCTCTCTCGCTCTCTGTTGTCTCATAAACTTAAAAATTCCAGTATAGATTGTTTTCTAAAACATCACAGAAAGTCGATTTAAATATTATAAGGCAGTAGAGGGGTAGTACAAGAAAAGCTCGTGATTAATTAATCAGTATCTAATATAATAAGAAAAACACTCTGGGTGCTTGGCGACTTTTGTGAAGTCAGTTTATAAGCCTAATGTTTTGAGGCAGTTGACAATATATAGTACAGGATGCTGAGAGTAACCAATTAACACAATCCTAGTGGGGGGAAAAAAAAAAAACACTAATTCCTCTGGTGAGTTTAATTTTCAAAATCTCTTTTCCAACCAGTGGTTTTAATAACATTAAGCAGAAATCTAGACAAATGCTTAAGGACATCACTGGAATCTTAAATGAACTCCCCAATATGGTTTCTGCGCAGTTAAACCATTTCTGAGACTAGACCCCCTCCAGGAAAATCCATCTTATTACAAATAGAAACCACTTTATCAACCTCTAAAGGAAATGGTTTCCGCCTGTTTTTGTCCATAAGCGACTGATATCAAGTACAAAAGGGATATTAGCACAAGAAAGAACTGCCAAAATCCTTTTTTCTGTTAATACAAACGTGCAGTGTGAACAGTGCTGGAAAATCTCCCTTCTGAGAGTATTTTCTGATCTCAAGAAGGTCCCTGCAAGGGAAGGTCATTCTCCAAAACTTCTACTGCATTAACCTCTCTTCATGATGAGGAGCCCTACCAACTAGCAGAGCCAGCAAAGCCTCCCCTGGCTTCTCCTCTTAGATGCCTTTCAGGAGCGCTGACATATTGAGAAGGCAAAGTTTTTTTGCCTAACAACACACCGGCCGGTAACAAATTCCCGGTCCAAACGCCTCAATGGATGAGCGAGTGTGTGGATTTTTGGAGATTTGTGCAATCTCCAAGGTGAATGAAATGACCTGATGCCAGTCAAGGAAATCAAAACCAGCAGTGCTCCCAACCCACATGATGCGCTGCTGTAAATACTGTCCTAACAGTAAAGAAAGATACAGCTAAATATGTACCTGGTCGGGAGAAAAGCGAATATTTGTTTCCCTGTGGGTTTCACCTGCTGAAGGGTGACAAGGACCACCCTGCCAGCTGTATAGAAGGGGTGGTGATCACTGGTGGCACTGAACGGAGTGGAAACTGGCCATCAGTTCAGCCCAAGGTTGCCAGTCTCCAAGATCAGCAGTTTTATTACCCCCTAATGATTTTATTGGCCCCTACTGACCTTGAAAGTAACTTGCATGGACCTATTTCCAGGTATCTAAAAATAACGATCCACCAGGTACCAGAGGTTTGTTTCTGACAAACATGCAGTATTCTCATTTCTTTGAGATTGCTTCATTCAAGACAATAAATACCATACTAACGTTTCTCAGATGCTTCAGCAAATAGTACCCAGCAAATACGTATTTTCTCATATTTCTGCATTAATCATTGGCATTTTCAACTCCACAGCTAACTGAGGAAAATTTTACTAATACTGTGGTAAATATTCTTAGAGAACCTATTAAAAAAAAAAAACATACACAATGAAATGAACATAACATGACTTTTATGGATGTCATGGTCTTTGGTCAACATCCAAATGCATGCTAAAAATAACAAGAACAGAGTTATATTAAACTAGTAGAGTACAAGGTGTCTCCATGCAAAATACTGGTTTGCATAAAACAGAAAAATATTTTTCTACAGAATGTACACTTAACCAACTAAAGAAAAAAAAAAACCACCAGACAAAACACGGTATTAATTACAAAGACATTGAAGGGTTAGTATTTATGTATTATGCCAGAAACAGTTTCCAGTGAAATTATGCCCGAGGCCACATTTTTAGAACTAAAAATCACCGATACGAGAATAAGAGCTATACAAACATTTTGGTCAACTGAAAATCTAAATGAGTTACTATAATATTATACTAACTACTAACTTCAAGAGCAGAGCTGACACATCTAGATAAACATCAGGAACTTCTGTTACTATGCTCAAGATATAAGATACAAAATATTGATTTGAAATACTTGATTTTTTCAGAGATCCAGTGTGATTTTGACAAAAGGCAAGAGGCTCTGAATGTGCCTTTAAATTACCAGCATACATCAATTTTCAAGAGTTTTCATTTCTATCATCGAGGTGTTCAAGAATTCATTAGTTTAAATGTATTCATATAACAAGAACACAATTGGTTTCAAAAATTTCTCTTCTCCCTTCTCAATTGCGGCAAACTCAGTCAAGCATCATCATTCCTGTGATATTAAATATATATATATATATATACAGTCTTCCCTTTCATAAAAACAATCATTACTTCTCAAAGCTCCTTTAGGCACCAGCTTTGCTGCAACACATCAACAACAGATAAGGTCTCCTGTAAATTAGCAGCACTGGTCATGCAAAACACCTGGTGTTGCAGACTGAAAATAGCAACACTTGAAAGAAAATTCCCTATGGTATTTGTTATTACTAACCTAGATACCATCTCGTATTTCCTATCAAGGAATCAAATTCATGTGTGTCATTTAAAGGCTATATATTTCATAATTCTAACACATACTCTTCCTTTATGCGTACATGGACTTTTAAGGCGCTCTTTTTTTAAGCCATATCTAACCGCATCTGAACACGTTGCAGACACAACAGTGGTCTCTTTAGGAAAGGGAGATTTGCCACATTAAAAATCAGAGTTGCATTTGCTTTCTGCTTTGTTCATGGAATAGCTATTCTGAAGGCCCCTTCTACTTCCCTGGAAGGAACACCTGGAATTTAACAGTGAAATTAACAATAAACAAGAAACAAGATAAAAATGATTAATTCCAAAACCTGAACAATACTTATGGCCACTATTATCAGATATTGATAAAGGGAGGAAAAAAAATACCTCCATCTTTTAGGAATACATTTGCTTTATAGCCAAAAATGAATGATTTATGCCTCACTTGCCGAACTCCACCAGTGACTGCAAGCTTCTGGTGATGCATCATTCTTTTGACCTACTAGAGCAACTATGAGAAATATGCAAGTATAAGCGGTGGTTTTATATGCAGATTAGACTACATTTCTTGCATTTCCTACTACTGATGCTTCTCCACCAATGCAGTGTAACAGTGAGAATGAACTATGGCATAAAGTGTTACCATGTTTTCCTCAAGCCAAAAATTCTAGTTACAATACAAGTGGCAGCCAGCACTACACCTACATCCGCATTCCTCTTTGTGCCACCACTGGCGGCACTCCACTGAACTATCTGGATTGGTGGGAAACTTTGAGAGAGAAAAGGGTAACTAAGACAAGGCATTTGGCTGCCCTTGTAATCAGCAATCAGCTTAAAGAGCCATTTTAGGTCATGAGAAATTTCAAAGATGACAGCTCTTTCATAGCTCTCTTCCCACGGTCAGAAAAAAAATACCTCATGGAAAAGAAATATCACGTGAAAAAACTCCTCTTTCACTAGCTTTTATGATAAGAGGCACATAAAGCAAACAATGTACAAGGGTATCAATCACTTCCCTAATTGAGAGCCTTTTCAAGGCAGTGCACAAACTTTTAAGAATGTTTGACATATATCAGCTGGCTCACGTACTGTTTTTGGATACTGATATCTGCAATCCTTTTACCGGATGTAGTGTCATTGTCTTAGCACAGATGACTAAGATAAAAACCAATGCGAAAACACAGTTTGTTTGCATGTTTTTGGTCTCCCACGACAATAACAGGAAGAGCTGTATGGATCGATATGCAAGATTACTAATAGGGATTTTTCTTCTCCTACCCATGACTATGTATGCAAAGCTATCTTAACCAGGTAAAATACGTAACACTTACCAGATCTCTATGAAGCACCCAGTTTGCATGGAGGTAATGGATTCCATCAAGAATCTGGTAAAGTAGTGATTTAACCATAGATCTTGGCAACTGCATGGGCTTTTTATTTGCTTTTGAGGCACGGTGAAACTTGATAATATGCTAGAAATAAAACAAGTAGAAACATGAAATGCATTAGATAAGTAAGAAGCTTTGTTAACTATTAGCATTAAGTAATGGAATGAAATACAAAGTTTGTTGAAGTTTGCCGTTAAAAATAAGTCATGTGCCCCCAATTTTCTTAAATCATGTTTTTGTTCTCTGAGTTGCTTTAAAAGGGGCTGTTCCGCTCTTCACTACACCTAAAGACTGGCTACTTACCTCCACTAAAAGCTCTGAGACCTTCTCCTCCCAGCCCAACACACTATCAGCCTCACAGCTGCCAGAGAAGAAGCTTCCAAACCAGCAGCAGCTACTGGGAAGGTACCTGCACCTTACGTTTCCGCACCTTCCCTCTCCTCCAAAGGGGAGAGCCCTTGCAACTAATTTTGTGTTCTCCCTCTAAATGGCAATCCCTGCAGACAGGGACCCTGCTTTAAGGTGAAATCTGGTACAAACATCTAAACAGGGCTACATTCTCATTCAAAGCTTTGGCTGTGCATGTCACTGCCGATGACAAGCTTGTGGTTCCTGGATTACAAAAGTCAGTCAGTCATTAGGGGATAAGATAGGGCTGAGAACAACGAATGCAAAAAGGGACTCCAGCATCAGTTAGTAGAAGGAAGGAAAAGAAAGAAATGAAGAGAGTGTTAAGAGATTATGAAGTATTCATAAACTAATTAATAATTATTGCAAGACCAATACAGAGATGATAGGTTAGGTTTGAATTTGCTACCCTGCACAACACAAGAAATGAAATGGGGCTGAGGGACTTTCTATATTTTAAGTTCTCGCACGAGGCTGGACCATGAGAAGCACAAACCCTGTCTTACCATACTATCACTCAGCAAATTAACCCAGCCACTCCTCCAGATGAATATGTATCCTCTTAGGGAGATTCACAAAAGCACTTCAAAATAACAAAACCATTTTCAATTACGTGCTTTTCTTAGGATAGAAATTATGAAGGCAATTTGCATTTCTACTGAAAGCAGTTTGGAATGCTAATCTGAACAGTGACAAGACTATTAAATACTCGGTTCTTTAAATAGAATGTGTCTAGTTCAAGACCTCCATCCCTTAGGAAGACACCTCTGCTCCCTGAGCCCCACCAAGTCTGCCACTTCTGGCTTTCCAGGAATATGGTGACGCTACCCACATTCACCTTCCTAGGGATCCTTCCACTGCTAAAGCTACAACAGGCATAGCCATATGGTGACAAAAACACCCAGTAATAAAAAAAGCAACTTGCAGGATTATTATTTTTTAATACGCAAACGGGGATTAGCAAACAAAGCAAGCTCTTGGTACCTTATCCCTCAATTGTGCAACTACTCTGAAAACTACATGGAATCATTTTCTTAGCAAACTCTTTTTGTTGTTATGACATACAAAGATTTAGAGTCCAAAATTTCAACTGAAATGCGGGAGTCCCTACCGCCCACTATGTGCGCTGCTCGCTGGAAACGATCCTCACGCATAATTACAACGTGGCCGTATGAAACACAAAATACAAAAGCAGCGACAGGCAAAGGTCACCACATGGAAATCCACAAGACACGTAATATAAACTGAGTCTCAAAACCATGCTACCTGGGACCACTAAAGGGAAATACTGTACTTCGAAAACGATGTTCCTCATAAAGCATTATAATACACAACAGGACCAAATCAAAAGCTATGGTGCATCTGCTAGGAAAGTGATGCCTCAGGCTCATTGGGCAGAGTCCGTCTGCTATCCAAACTGCAATTTTGGGGGAACCAAGGGCTGTTTCTCTCCCTCCACAAAAATGCCTGCATGAGCTTTTGAGGCTGGGCCTAATGCTGAGCCTAATGCACACAAGTTGCGTCTAGCCCTGAAGCAGAGCTAGGAACCAGAGCGAGCTGAACCCACACCAAAGTACGCGGCCCTTCCGCTGGCCTGGCGAGCTCGGGTGTTCAGAGCATGGCAGAGCTCACTCTCACCGACCTGTGAGGTACTCACAGCTGAAATTCACAGGTGAAATCACCCTGCCAGGACCACGGCCTGGCCCCGCAGCTGGTGGGGGTGAAGGCCACATGCTCCCACCTGCCGGCCTCAGGGCAAAGAAGCCGTTTGGTTTCTCTCACCACACACAGCACCATGTGTAATTTTAAAAGACTGGACCACTTTTTTCTCCTGCGCTTGCCATGTTTTGTTTCAGTCTCCATTTCTTGCAGAGAAATCAAGGAAACTCTTGCTGCCCATCCACAGCCAACACAAGACGCTTCTGTGAGAAGTGAGAACCTTTGGTCCACTGGAAACACACAGCAAACGGCTCAAATGACATCCAGCGAGGAGATCTCCTGGGCAGGCTTACACCACCTTCGAAATTCATATCCCCAAATTCTGACACCAGTAAAATTTAGTGAAGAACACAGGAGATGCCAAAATACCACAACAGCAGCAAGGGATTCTTTTTTCTTTTCTTTGAAGATAACTCTCTCCAAAGAGATTTTTCCTTAGATCTAAGCAAGCAGCTTCTTTAATTTATGAATTACCTAATTCATAATACCTAATAATACCTAATACATAACACCTAATGTATGAATTACAACGGATAGTTTTCCTTTAAGGAGGCAATATCTCTATCAAATAAAAATCAGTTTCCTATAGAAGTGAATAGGAATTATTACTGCCAACTTACTCCAATATGGACAGGTTTATATTAGTCATAAGAACAAATGTGACTCCATCACAACTAAGATCTGAGGACTAAACTGGCCTTAAACTAAAAATACACTCCAGGGCCAAATAGTTCAGGGAACTAAGACGCTGAATCTGTCCCATGCCACTGGAAGGAAGCCACTGCACTTGTGACCATGGCCTATTCTCGGGAGGTTTGTGAAAAATCAGTTCTTCTCCTTTCTCATGTACAAGCGTCCATGTTAAAAAAAAAAAAAAAAAAAGACCAACACGTAAGCAGGACTGAACTACTACTTTAACAGCAACATCCGTTCAAGAATGAGACATGCAAAGAGATGCCATTGACCCACATCTCTTCTACTGGAAGCCATGAGCATGAGCCCTTTCTTCTTTTTTTTGTATGTCAGAAATTCACCTATATGGCCCTACCACTGCTGTGGGAAAATATTACCTATCACTACTATTTAAATTAAGAGGCACAACAGAAATAAGTGACCAGTCATAACTTGACAAAAGTCACTCAGATCAGGTAGAAATCAGGCAAGCAAAGGATGCTGTAGAACAACTCCACTAAAAGAATTACAACCTGAGCATTTCCACTCACCAGCTATGGCAGGGAGATGTGCTCTTCTCATGCCACAAAACATTCGGGATTTAACATTTAAATGCAAGACCTCAGCTGTAGAAAAGTGTACAAGTGACAGCACACGCCAAGACCACATAAATGGCAATATTTAAAGCAATGAAACAAGGCTAAGCAATATAATTACAGAGCTGTGACTCTTTCAAGAGTACTTGAGCTCTCTGCTTGTGCCTCCTACATTACCTTCTAAAGCATCCTAAGAAGTTGGAAAATTGGCTCATGAGAAACAACACACATTTACCACATCTACCAGCATACACAGTGTAAATACAGCACAAAAGAATATATATAGCAAAACAACTTAATTTGTTCCATGAAACACCCTCCCCCCACACAGTATTTAGTGAATATTTAAATAAGCATTCAGCAAGGTCCTACCCTAGTTTTAGGCCGCTTATAAGGGAGTCAAGCTGAGGCAAATTTACTCTATTTTTGTTTCAACCCATTTCTGATTCCAAGAACTGCTGCTCTATATAACAGGTTAAAATAAGTTGTACCTGGAAGGCTTTCATGGAAATAGGAAGTCAATTAATGCAGAGATTTTACATATGTCTGACAAAAAGAAGAAATTCCAGTATGAGCTTCCACTTCAGTGACATAAGTTGACCTACACAGGATCTTCACAGCAATCACAGCAACCTAGACGCCTTCCTCAGCTATGGCAGCCTCTTCTCCCTACTGGACTGAGTAGTCTATCAGCCACACATATCTTACCAAAACTCATCTTTCTATTCAATCCCTAATCCAAGCCTTGAGAATAAAGCAGAATCATGTGAGGCATTTCCAATGAACCACTAAACATTATGTTTTATTACTCAAGAGACTGAAGTTTAGATATACACTAAATCCGTTCCAGGATCAAGAGGAAGATTCAGATGGTATAGCTGCAAGTATCAATATAAAGAATAAAATGATTCCTACCCTCTCTCTTCAGCAATCAATACCCAAACAAAAGCTACATGTTTTAAATGAAAAGCACTTCAAAAGATATGAGAAATAAATCAAAATTCAAAGGTGGTATAAAAACTGAAAGTACACTCCTTGCACAGTTTAAAACATAGGGAGCAAAGATAGCTCCAATGAATGCGAGTAACATTTGTTTGCTGTTCCAAAGATAAACCATCCAACTTCATCTGCCGGTACTTGGAAATAATTTTAGATACCAAAGTTTTAGACACCAAAAATATCTTGTCCAATGTATACCGCAAGGAAAACAGAATCAAAACAAAACAAAAAATGGGTGATTTTTTTGTTCCTGGAGAGACCACTGCAACTTCCACTTCTCAAAGCTGCACCACGCTGTAGCACCCTCCCTCAAAGCCCTGTCATTATCCAGTCTCTTCTCTAGAACCTTTTGATACCAAACTGCCTCATGCACCCATTTCCAAGCAGCAAGAGGACATTTTAAGCGACAGCAAGGAGAGCTCTTGTGCACTATCTTGTGCCAAAGATGACTTATTTAAAATGAACTTCTTTAATGAAAAGGATAAGGTTTGAGGCAAAGCCTGAACATAAATAGATTCGGTACCATTTTCCCAAGTTCTCAGAGGTCTTTAAAGTTCTTCGAGATCATGAAGAACTCAATATTTGTGAATAACTTCATATAATAATAAATGATGATAATAATAATTTTAAAAACACAATTCAATTATCTGGTCTGAAACACTGCAAATATTTAGGACGCTCCCTCCACAT